GTTTACTCTCAGTTCTCTCGGTGCCACTCAGGCCTGGGCTTCCGAATTACAGACCGTGGGTGTGAATTACATTGAACTAAACATGTGTACAGTCATTCTCTCCCTGCCTGTCCCGTGCCAGAGTGCTGGGTTGCGGGCCGTGTCTCGCTTCTGCCACATGCTGGGCCCACAGTGCTGACCTGCCGGCAGGTCTGGGCTCTGGCGCCCCGAGTCTCCTGCTCTCGGGGAGCCCGCACAGTGGAGGGGTGCGGAGTAGAGACTCCCGGGCTCCGTGACTGCAGCTTCGCTTCCCTTTGATCTCTGCTCCACAGGCAACAGAGTGGTTTTTGTAAAACACAAATCTGAACGTCACCGCCTTTCTCTAAATTCCTCAGTCGGTTCCCCCTGTGTGTGGCACGCATCCTCCACTCTCTTCTCCCGTGATCACCAGCCAGTCACCCCCAGATCATGGCAGGGCGTCTTAGCTTCCTGCCCGGGCAGGTTTTCTGGAAGGCTCCTACCAGCAGGCTCCTTCCAGCAGGCTCCTTCCCACCTGGCCACACTTCACTCCCACCCGTGGTCTCTCCTCTGCCCTCCACAGAGCCCTGGAAGCCCCTAATAACACCCAGGGCCACTGTGTCTGCTCCTGTCCTGTGAGTGGGCTCGTGGTGTGGGGCGTGGCCCCGCTGGGCGGCCAGGGCTGCACAGCTGTGTGCGCCACCAGGGCTGAGGACCCGAGTCTGAGCCTGGAGACCTCACAGCCCCTACGCACCGCCCTCGGCTGGATGGTGAGGACAGTAAAGCAACTGTGGCCGCATCTTTATGAGACAGTTGAGGAAACCCCGTCCAATTTCAGTAGCATAGAATCTGCAGTGGGATCTGATGCCAAGCTCCTGGCATGGCTTCCTTGCCTGGAGAGGCTTTTAAAAGTCTAATCCGAGATTTTTGACTGCATGTTCCAGGAAAGCAGAGTTAAAAAGAACTTACATGGCCCCTCACCATTCTTGTAGCACTCACGTAAACAATCATGCCAAGTTTAATGCGACTAGACCAATTTTTCCAAACAAATTAGTGTCATTGTAATTATCTTTGGTAGATATTGGGGGGAGCTATAGAAAGAAAATTATTTCAGTAGAAAACTTTGTACCCATTATCAGATTCTGGCCCTGTTTATTTTTCTTGAGATTTGTTACCTGTCTCTAAACTTGTCTGATCCTGAAGCTATAGTCACTGCTGCTGAGCAAGTGGATGTACCTTTTAGGAACAAAGCCTCGTGTCTATCAGTGGGCCACTCAGGAAGGTCCAAAGTGCCTGGCGCCATAACCAGAGACCTTCAAGTAGGAAGCCAGAAAAATATGCTTCGAGCTCAAATGTAAAAATCTTCTGGATGTGTCCTGAGGACCTGCCCTTCTGTCTCAGAGACTGAGTTTAAAGGTCGCATTAGCTGTTATTCTGTCTTTCTTTTGTTTTAGTTGGTTTGTCCTTGGGGTGTGGCTGTTAGTTTCCTCCTCTGAATCTTCCTTTTGTGCTGCGTTCCCTCCGTTTGTCGTGTGTCTGCTCCATGGCTGGTGCCCCATCGAGAGCTCACTGTGATGACTGGAGAACTGCAGGAGGAATCTCTTTAATGAGCCTGATGGTGTGACTTACAGGTTCCACACTAAGACAAAATGCAACCAGCCACAGTGGTGACAGAGAGAGAGAGTGATGTTTATGTCCAAGTTTGGCCAATCTCTCACAAATGAAAGGCTGACTAAGGTGGGGCATTTTTTAAATTTCAAATTAATGTGAGAGTACAAACAACTAGGTTACAATTTTGCATTTGTTAGGTAGAGTCCTTCTCATAGTTGTGACCTGCACCCAAGACGTGTGCTATATTCTCTTACATTGAGCCTAGTGAATGGGAGCACACCAACCCCCTTCCATCCTCTCCTCCAACCCCTCCTCCCTCCCCCCTGAACTTGAATTGAATCAAGTTTCTCTCTTATGTGAGCATATATTAGATCGTCTCCTGGCTACATATTAGAATTGAGTACCTTGGATATTTGCTTTTCCATTTTTGTGATACTTTACTAAGAAGCCTTTGTTTCAACTTTATTCAGGTTAATACAAAAGATGTACAGCCTCCATCTTTTTATGGCTGACTAGTATTCCATGGTATACACATACCAGTTTGTTAATCCATTCAAAGGAGGCATTATTAAAAAAACATTTTAATTGGGAAGCCATTAGGCTTAGATACCTCGTGTACCTGGGGTTCCTAAGTAAGTAAACCAAAGCTCAATGTATAGAGTTTACTTTTTAAGATTTAAGCTTATACAGTCAGAAACCATCAACTAACCTTTATCCAGGAACTTTGCACCTTAACCAATCAAATATATTTTCTCTGTCTTGCTTCCACAAACACCTTACAAAACTTTTCTCTCTCACCTTCTTTCGCCAGGGAAATACTGAATGTTTGTGAGGTGGTGCTGCCCCATTCATGAATCCTTTGATGTGCAAATGAACTCATTGACATTTTAATGCACCTCAATTATATTTTATTAATTGTATCTCAGGTCCAGCAGAGAACTTGTCTCTTAATAGGTATTCAACAAAATACTGCTGCATGAACGTCCTACATCCTTGAATGCTATTTGTTATAATCCACTTCTTCCCTGCTTTCTATCTCCAGTTCTATTTTAACTTTCATTACATTTACTTTCGCTTTATCCTTTTCCTATGTAATTTCTAGCATCCATTTAAAAAACCCGGAAAGGGATAATAATCTTCCTTTTATCCACCACTCAGCTTTAGTACTTTCCTACTCAAGCCAATATCCTGGCTTGATGCCCACCCACTCTCCCCCTCTTGGGATAATTTGAAGCAAATCCTAGATACACTCATTCCCTTGTTACATATTTCAAAGTGCATCTCTAACGCATAATATCGACGTAAAAACAGCCAAAATGTTTTCAACCTAAAAATATTAACAATTTGTTAATTCATCAAATACTAATCCATGTGTAAATTTCCAGTGGTTACATAAATGTTACAAATTATTTAAGTTTCCCTAATTTCAAATTCAAATAAAATTCCCAGGGTGGTGCCCATGGCTCGGAATATGGCACCGGCCCCATATGCTGGAGGTGGCAGGTTCAAACCCAGCCCCGGCCAAAAAGTGCGGAAAAAAAAAAAAATTCACATATTGTAATTAGCATCTCAGGTTTCTTTTAACTGTGCATATGCTTGTCAATAGGCAGAAATTTTATTTTTTATTTTTTGATTTTTGTGAGACAGTCAGTCACCCTGGATAGAATGCCATGGAGATTCTCTTACCTCAGCCTGCCAAGGAGCTGGGACTACAGGTGCCTGAGACAACACCTGGCTAATTTTTCTATTTTTAGTAGAGATGGGGTCTTGCTCTCGCTCAGGCTGGTCTCGAACTCTTGAGCTCAAGCAATCTGCCTCCCCCTCCCAAACTGCTAGATTACAGGCGTGAGCCACTATGCCTGGCCTAATTCCTTGCTTCTTTTGAAATTCTCTAGTCTACCTCTACTGGGTACATTTTGTTTTATAATGTCGAAAAAGTGATCTCGCTGAATTAACTTTGCAGCATAGAGAAGGAGCTAACATTTGTTCAATATCAGTCGCAACTGGGCATTCTTACAAATTTATTTTCATTTTATTTACAAAAACCACCTAAGGTAAATTCTGTTGTTATGTCATCCTTTTAAAGTTAGGGATACTGAGGACCGGGTGCAGTGGCTCACACCTGTAATCCTAGCACTGGGGAGGCCAAGGTGAGTGGATTGCCTGAGCTCACAGGCTTGAGACCAACCTGAGCCAGAGGGAGATCTCATCCCTAAAATAATACATAGCTGAGCATTGTGACGGGCGCCTGTAGTCCAAGCTACTTGAGAGGCTGAGGCAAGAGAATTGCTTAAGCCCAGGAGTTTGAGGTTGCTGTGAGCTATGACCCCATGGCACTCTACTCAGGGCAACGAAGTGAGACTGTCTCAAAAAAAATAAAATAAAAAGTTGGGATACTGAGGTTCTTTGGAGTAATTTGCCCAAATTAAGGAGAGTACCTGGAATTCATATCCTCTACTATTCAAAATCAAAGTCGGAGCCTTATTCTTTATGTTAGCGTTTTTCAAAACATGCGCAGCAATTGTTCAGAAAATGGTGAAATCCGACTGGTTGACTGTACCCCAGTGGTTAGGGCAATGCCCAAATGCATCGGGGCTGGTCAGTTCGAACCCGGCCCAGGCCTGCTGAAAAAACAAAAATAGCTGAGCATTGTGGTGGGCACCAGTAGTCCCAGCCACTAGGGAACCTGAGTCAAGAGAATCTCTTGAGCCCAAGAGTTTGAGGTTGCTGTGC